TGAACCCAGCTTTTTCCGCAATTTTGGGACAGGTTCGCGTGACAAACGACATTAGGTGTTTCATTAATCCGTTTCGTTTACGATCTTAGAACGGGGATGTTAGTTCAATAAAATAACAAATGGCTTAGTATTTATAATACTACACCATAATGATACAATGCAATGTTATATGATACATATAGCATTAACAAAATACAAATGATGTTACTAGTAGTAGTACTAATACTGCTAGGTAATGCTTAAAAATTAGAGTTTACTGAAGTGGCTGATGTCGTTTTCAAGTCAATGAATGAGGATTCAAGGGGAAATGATGGGAAAACGAGCGGTAAAGAGTGTTCCAAATGGCTTTCTTCGGTATGTAAGCAGGTTTATCTCCAGCCATAGTGGACGACGTGTTTAGCTGCCACCTTTCTGTTTATACTGTCCACATAATACACTTAAGTTGAAGAATACAATTTAGTCATGTGCAGAAAGCTGGTAGAAGTATTAGAGTAGAGATTGCGAATGTAATAGGTGATAAATTGACGACACATTGCCACAGAAAAATGTGGTTCGCATTTGGACCTTATCCAACGGAACTCAGCTCAGATTAGCTACGCTTACTACGCAGCACTCCCGAAGATAATACCCCGTCAGCTGTCAGTACACGAATGTTTGACTCGGAATTGTGTATAAACACCACAGCCTATTTGTTTTGATGTTTTTCTGGATTGACTTCAGATATCCGGCTCGATAATAAATTCGAATTAGTCATAATAAACCAATAACACGTTCTGTCCAGAGAAACGTTCAAAATAGTAAATCACATAAATAGAACTCGTATGTATCAATCTATCAATGTATGTTGCACGTTCACAATGAATCCTGGAAAAACTAATTTGTTGGCCCTGGAAACTCCCATATCAAAAGAGAATTTGGCAAATGTCAGCGATGCTGTTTAATGCCACTAGTTTTACAGAAATATCTTGTCCACCAAATGGTTTAGTTTTGTTTGTTCAAAACAGTTTTCTCGCTGTACATACTCTCCAACTGTCATATTGCTGTGCATGATGGAATGTAGCGATTCGGACTACGGTTTTTGACTTTGATTGTAATCTGCAAATGAGTAGAAAAGCAACTAACTCAAGTCACTCATGTCGTTCAGTTTCTTCCTGTATTAGTCGGTGAGTAAATATGTAACCCTTCAACGGTAAAACCGATGGACTTACTTTCTTCGGTAGCATCTGGCTGACAGCTACGTTCACTGGAATTACTACAGACAGACCGGATGGTTTGTGGATTGTTTTCAATCGGTTGGTGTTCGATTGCCATTGTATACCTTCGGTTTCTCAAATGCCATTCAACCAAGGCGTAAATGTAGCCAATCACACAGACAATGACCCCGTACACACCCAGATAATATTGCAACATGTATGAACCTGGAATCTTGTGAACCACTTGGAAACCTTCTGCCAGTTGAATTTTGACTGAAATAAAAGTCCAAAGATGAGATTCGGTTAGAAACATTAAGAAATGCTTGTTATTTATGAATGATTTTTAGCTCTGTGAAAAACAAAATCTAACTGAATTGCAGTTGTCAGGGAACTTCGTTGAACTCACCTCCAATCGACCGCCGTGGCTTGTACATGCGAAACCCTTGGAGATATGTTTCGTTTTACAAAGCTGTTTCATTGTCTGGTCGTAGTTTGAAACTATAAGATTGGTTTAACCGTCACTGTAGGGTTCATGTTAGTTCTTATAACGTTTTAAAGTACTTGTGAACCTGTACGGGGACTGAGTCATGACGTAAGTGAACCGGTCATTGTTGCTGAGTGTTCGAAGATTTGCGCATAAAATTGAGACCGTCTAATTTCAGATAGATTGTTCGGTAAGCTGTTATTGAAAACAGTAGTAAGCGTAAATATCTCTCCTGATAGACCTCATCGGTCGTGAATATTCTTGTCATCACTGGGATTAGAACCTCAATTCACCATTTCATTAACCATCCGTACTGACTTCTGAGCCATTAAGCACGCCAGAACTGTTTCATCTAAATGCTCTGGTGTGTCTTCTCTAGGGCATATACATCCATTGCTAGCCACTAACCTCGTGATACGAGCCCCCCGGTTAAATCAAAGTTCATTTAATCTACTTGAAAATATTCCGATTGTTTATGAACCGTCAATGAATTGTTAGGTACAACTCGAACACCACTCCGTAGTCAGATATTCTTTTCCAGTCAGATTGCTTGGAAAATCGGGACTAAACTCGAGTGTTGTCCTCGTTCCAACTCATCATGAGTGTATATCCTTGCCATGAGCAAAAGTTGATCTCTGCTATATATA